CCTAAGACTAATTTCCTTTTCTGAACAAAAAGAAAACCGTTTAACGAAATCTTTTCTCCTTTCGGTTTATTTAGTATCGGCTGTTTCTGGTGCAGTGTTTAAGAAGAGTTAAACAGAAAGGTAACTTTACACTTGAAGACAACTACTCACAAATTTTAATAGGCTGGGGTTAAATTCTCTGAGCTGGCTCACCGTTCTTTAGGCATGTGATGGTGGTAACAGATCGTTTAAGGCATGCTAACCGGTAATTTACACTCTTTAAGCAAATTAAAGACGATCAGTGAAGTTCTATCGTCTGCTCGTGCTAATAAAACGCACAGATAACGATGATCAATAGTCTGTTTTTATTAAAAACTCAATCAGCCAGTTAACTATTTAATCGGTATTATCTGCGGGACTGTTGGCATTATCTTCGGAACTGCTACGCCAGGGATTGTCGCTAATAGGCATTCGGAGTAATGACTAGGGTGGGCTCCAGCCATTGTCCACTGATAGAAATGGAAATTAGTTTTCACAAATCTTTATGAAGTCTTTTAGTTGATTGGCGTGAAGGAAACCATAATTTAACCTTTCTTGGGTCGTAAAAAGTAACCCTGGACATAAATTAAATTCGAAGATGCTGTCTGGTAAATGAGGAAACGACAGACAGTTTAGAGAGCTATTTACCAGGAGAACACGCATATGAGCATCCACGTTGGAGGGAAACCACACCGTCGATTAATCATTTTATTTCTTATTCATGATAACAAAAGCATTGTATTGGACAAATGCGCAATTGGTTTGACCTAAACATATTAGTATTTCATTGAGGAGCGTCGTCTGAGCAATTAACTGTCATTTCACTAATTATTTTACAGAACGAGAGAAAATTGTTAAACTAATGCAAGTTTTGTAATTACATACTTCACAAGTATTATGAAGACGCTATGTATCATATTGATCGTATGCTAATTTGAATATCTAATGTGAACACATAGATTCTACTCATTGCAATATGTTTCTTTTTTTCTTTCTTAAATTGCTTTACTTTAATATTGAAACCATTACCCTTCTTCGTGTATTCTTTTCTGTATATGATAAACAGTAAAAACAATAAGATACCTTGGTATAAAAAAATAGCTATTTGAAAAAGAAATGTAAGTTTAAGCTGATACACTTTGATATAGCCCAAGCTTTTTAAATGTGTTGTACAACATACAAGTACTTTATTTAATAGGTTAACGTAGTTACGTGAGTCTAGACAATTTGCTCTCTTTTTTTTCTGTCTGTGTAAATCGCAACAATTTCAGTACAACTTAATCTTAATGATTCATTTGATTATAAATAGTCTAATCCGGGAAACTTTATAAACGAATTTTTTGACTGATACACATATTTTTTAAAACATAAGTTTTAGTGTTGTTTACGTATCTATTAGTATGTTTGCACATACACTTATCCGAGGACATTTTATTCGACCAATTTTGGTATTACAATGTACATTTCCACATCGACAGTTTCATTTTATTTGTGATTGTACTACTTCGTATCCACATATATATATTTCAATTGTGTTTCATCAGCGTTATTAGACTTTGAGCTTTACTTCCCTTTTTATACTGTGAAAAGCTTTTTACAGCAAGGGAGATTATTTATGGTCTCGGACAATAGTGTATAATATGGTGTAATCATTATCGAGGGATACATATTCTGATCTATTGCAAACCCATCTACAGTACTTATGTTTCATTTCTTAATTATGATGTCTATATTACCTAAAACAGATTTTTTTTTATTTCAGAAATGTGCAACAATCGTGTGTGAAAGAAAAAGGTGTGCAATAGTGCAAGTTTGAAGGAATTATAAAGACAGTATCAAAACTGTATTAGTGATTACTTGATAATAATCTTTTTATTGACAAAATATTTATTGAAATTCCTATAATTGCATAAACCTCGAGAATTACCTTGTTCTTCATTACTTTAGGACCTCTATATGCGAGTTTGCATTAACATGATATCACAACTGCACCGACAAAATTAGAAATTGACAAAGGGTATTCAAACAGCAATTCGTATCCTCTTAACCTATATCATTATTTCTAATATAATGGACGAGATATATCAGCTATGAATGTCCATTTTACATCTGAAGGAACACAAGAATTCTTAACTAAATAATTGTTAAGTAAGTTAAATAAGAATGCAAATATTTGTAAGTTTCAAACCCCAATATTTACATTCTGTATGCTTAGACCCATTGACAAAAATTACATTCATAAATGCATAACACAGGTGTTCATAGAATCTCAGCACGTGGGAACTGATAGTAACCTGATCACACTGCGTAGTAATACACTACAAAAACTACTCACTCGGAACGACCGACCTAGATGCTTAATTCTTACATCTTAAAATATTATTGAACTGTGCTTTGTGAAATNTTAAGGAATGATTTTTATTTTTTCAACATTTATGAGGTCATAACAACAATGGGTTTATGGACATATTGAATGAATCGCGTTAGCGATTCATGTAAAATATGTCCATAAACCCATTGTTGTTATGACCTCATAAATGTTGAGAAAATAAAAATCATTCCTTAAGTATAAAGCGTAACGTGCATATATAACAATAATTACCGATAGTAACCGGTCAATTTTGATAACTTCAATGTTCAATGGTTTATTGAAATGGATTATTTTGTGTACACTTTTTACTATCTATATTAATATTCTGATTAGCATTTAATAGTTCAGGATTTTTAAAATTTAAAATTTTGCCATTTTTGCGGCGATCGATACCTTACAATTATTTGTAAATGATTTTATGAGAAACTGTATGGCGACTCGCCATATGTAACAAGTATAATACCACGACATTTTATAATGTTCGCAAAATAATCCCCCACGAATAATAATGAGTTTACAGGTTCCTTCGTATGGAACACTTTTGGAAAGAATAATAATGACGTAGTAAGTTTATATGATTATAAAGATCCCTGTAGTACAGCAGGCATACATTTGTTGTAAAACAATAAAATTCCTTTGTAGTTTTTCATACATACAGTTATTTCCCCTCAATTTAGTTCAGTTTATAAGTATAGTGAGACTGGACTTAGTGGCCTGCAGCTGATCAGCAGATAGTTAGATTGATTTGAGCACTATTTAAATCGGAAGTCCATAGGTCGATTCCTGGTTGACCTCATTGCATTGTATACTCTCAGAACACTGTTGTTAATTTGTGTGTGGTTTTTTTCTCGAAAGGTCAGAGGAAATTACATAGACTAGATAAACATTATCCGAGACATGGCAGTACACATTAGGTGTGTCTCACTTCAGGAAATGTTTGTCAACATGTATTTACCAAAACATATTTCAAAAACTCATTTGTAAAGAGCTAAGGATCCCTATCCCATTGTACTTTGAATTTACCTATAAACAGTAACTTCTCTTAATTTCGTATTGGATATAACTATTGCACAGCTAGGCCAGGGCACTTTCATAGAGCAGGTAACTCAGTTTCTTAGGGGGATAGTATAATATACTGGAATACAGGGTTCGAATCCCGTTCTAATTCAACTGAAGGATTCTTACAAAAGCTATAGTCATGCCGGCAAAATCGGTTTCCATAGCATAATTACAGATTTTGGTAGTGGTATGAGGATCCTTAATTTAGGTATTTAAACAATTACAAAGACTGGTATCTTCTATTAAAATATATAAAACAACTAATACAAATTAACGTAAAACATAGATATACACTATAGTAGCTATATGATTAAATCAATCAATGCTTGCATTAAAGATAAACGAGAAATTTAGAATCAAAAAAGGAACATAAACATAAACTAATAATGTTCTATAAAACATTCTAACCTTCATGGTTTGTGTGCTCGCCTTACTGGTTTGTGTGCTCGCCTTGATGGTTTGTGTGTTCGCCTTGATGAGTTGTGTACTCGCCTTGATGGTTTGTGTGCTCGCCTTGATGGGTTGTGTGCTCGCCTTACTGGTTTATGTGCTCGCCTTACTGGTTTGTGTGTCACCTTACTGGGTGTGTGCTCGCCTTACTGGTTGTGTGCTCGCCTTACTGGTTTGTGTGTCACCTTACTGGTTGTGTGCTCGCCTTACTGGTTGTGTGCTCGCCTTGATGGTTTGTGTGCTCGCCTTACTGGTTTGTGTGTCACCTTACTGGTTTGTGTGCTCGCCTTACTGGTTTGTGTACTCGCCTTGGTGGTTTGGGTGCTCGCCTTGATGGGTTGTGTGCTCGTCTTACTGGTTGTGTGCTCGCCTTGATGGTTTGTGTGCTCGTCTTACTGGTTGTGTGCTCGCCTTACTGGTTTGAGTGCTCGCCTTACTGGTTTGTTCGCTCGCCTTACTGGTTTGTGTGCTCGCCTTCATGGTTTGTGTACTTGCCTTGACGGTTTGTGTGCTTGCCCTCATGGTTTGTGTGCTCGCCTTACTGGTTTGTGTGCTCGCCTTCCTGGTTTGTGTGCTCGCCTTACTGGTTTGTTTGCTCGCCTTGATGGTTTGTGTGACTTCCTGGTTTGTGTGCTCGCCTTGACGGTTCATGTGATATCCTGGTTTGTGTGCTCGCCTTGATGGGTTGTGTGCTCGCCTTCCTGGTTGGTGTGCTCGCCTTACTGGTTTGTGTGCTCGACTTGATGGTTTGTGTGTTCGCCTTACTGGTTTGTGTGCTCACCTTACTGGTTTGTGTGCTCGCCTTGATGGTTTGTGTGATTTCCTGGTTTGTGTGCTCGCCTTGACGGTTCGTGTGATTTCCTGGTTTGTGTGCTCGCCTTGATGGTTTGTGTGCTCGCCTTGATGGTTTGAGTGTTCGCCTTGATGGTTTGTGTGCTCGCCTTGATGTTTTGAGTGTTCGCCTTCACGGTTTGTGTGCTCGCCTTGATGTTTTGTGTACTCGCCTTGATGTTTTGTGTAGTCGCCTTGATTGTTTGTGTGCTCGCCTTTCTGGTTTGTGTACTCGCCTTACTGTGCTCGCCTTACTGGTTTGTGTGCTCGACTAGATGTTTTGTGTAGTCGCCTTACTGGTTTGTGTGCTCACCTTGATGGTTTGTGTGCTCGCCTTGATGTTTTGTGTAGTCGCCTTCATTGTTTGTGTGCTCGCCTTGATTGTTTGTGTGCTCGCCTTTCTGGTTTGTGTGCTCGCCTTGATGGTTTGTGTGCTCGCCTTGCTTGTTTGTGTGCTCCCCTTTCTGGTTTGAGTGCTCGCCTTGATGGTTTGTGTGCTCGCCTTGATTGTTTGTGTGCTCCCCTTTCTGGTTTGAGTGTTCGCCTTGATGGTTTGTGTGCTCGCCTTGATGTTTTGTGTGCTCGCCTTGATGGTTTGTGTGCTCGCCTTAGTGGTTTGTGTGCTCGCTTTGATGTTTTGTGTGCTCGCCTTGATGTTTTGTGTACTCGCCTTGATGGTTTGTGTACTCGCCTTGATGTTTTGTGTACTCGCCTTAGTGGTTTGTGTGCTCGCCTTGATGTTTTGTGTACTCACCTTGATGGTTTGAGTGCTCGCCTTTCTGTTTTGTGTACTCGCCTTGATGGTTTGTGTACTCGCCTTGATGGTTTGTGTGCTCGCCTTAGTGGTTTGTGTGCTCGCCTTGATGGTTTGTGTGCTCGCCTTGATGGTTTGTGTACACGCCCTGATGTTTTGTGTGCTCGCCTTGATGGTTTGTGTACTCGCCCTGATGGTTTGAGTGCTCGCCTTACTGGTTTGTGTACTCGCCTTCGTGGTTTATGTGCTCGCCTTACTGGTTTGTTCGCTCGCCTTACTGGTTTGTGTGGTCGCCTTACTGGTTTGTGTGATCGCCTTCATGGTTTGTGTGCTCGTCTTCATGGTTTGTGTGCTCGTCTTCATGGTTTGTGTGCTCGTCTTACGGGTTTGTTCGCTCGCCTTACTGGTTGTGGTGCTCGCCTTGCTGGTTTGTGTGCTCGCCTAGATGGTTTGTGTGCTTGCCCTCATGGTTTGTGTGCTCGCCTTATTGGTTTGTGTGCTCGCCTTATTTGTGTGCTCGCCTTACTTGTTTGTGTGCTCGCCTTGATGTTTTGAGTGTTCGCCTTGATGGTTTGTGTACTGGTTGTGTGCTCGCCTTGGTGGTTGTTTGTGTGCTCGCCTTAGTGGTTTGTGTGCTCGCCTTGATGTTTTGAGTGTTCGCCTTCACGGTTTGTGTGCTCGCCTTGACGGTTTGTGTACACGCCCTGATGTTTTGTGTGCTCGCCTTGATGTTTTGAGTGTTCGCCTTCACGGTTTGTGTGCTCGCCTTGTTGGTTTGTGTGCTCGCCTTATTTGTGTGCTCGCCTTACTGGTTTGTTCGCTCGTCTTACTGGTTGTGTGCTCGCCTTGGTGGTTGTTTGTGTGCTCGCCTTAGTGGTTTGTGTGCTCGCTTTCCTGGTTTGTGTGCTCGCCTTTGTGGTTTGTGTGCTCGCCTTTCTGGTTTGTGTGCTCGCCTTGATGGTTTGAGTGCTCCCCTTACTGGTTTGTGTGCTCGCCTTCATGGTTTGTGTAATCGCCTTACTGGTTTGTGTGCTCACCTTGATGGTTTGAGTGCTCGCCTTGATGGTTTGTGTACTCGCCTTGATGGTTTGTTTGCTCGACTTGATTGTTTGTGTACTCGCCTTTCTGGTTTGTGTACTCGCCTTTCTGGTTTGTGTGCTCGCCTTTCTGGTTTGTGTGCTCGCCTTTCTGGTTTGTGTGGTCGCCTTGATGGTTTGTGTGCTCGCCTTTCTGGTTTGTGTACTCGCCTTACTTGCTTGAGTGCTCGCTTTACTGGTTTGTGTGCTCGTCTTCATGGTTTGTGTGCTCGCCTTCATGGTTTGTGTGCTTGACCTCATAGTTTGTTTACTCGCCCTGATGGTTTGTGTGCTCGCCTTACTGGTTTGTGTGCTCGCCTTGACGGTTCATGTGATATCCTGGTTTGTGTGCTCGCCTTCATGGGTTGTGTGCTCGTCTTGATGGTTTGTGTGTTCGCCTTACTAGTTTGTGTGCTCGCCTTGATGTTTTGTGTAGTCGCCTTCATTGTTTGTGTGCTCGCCTTGATTGTTTGTGTGCTCGCCTTTATGGTTTGTGTGCTCGCCTTACTAGTTTGTGTGCTCGCCTTCCTGGTTGTTGTGCTCGCCTAACTGGTTTGAGTGCTCACTTACAGGTTTGTGTGCTCGTTTTACTGGTTTGTGGGTTGGCCTTCATGGTTTGTGTGCTCGTTTCACTGGTTTGTGTGATCGCCTTGATGGTTTGTGTGCTCGTCCTCATGGTTTGTGTGCTCGCCTTCATGGTTTGTGTACTTGCCTAGATGGTTTGTGTGCTTGCCCTCATGGTTTGTGTGCTCGCCTTACTGGTTTGTGTGATCGCCTTCCTGGTTTTTGTGCTCGCCTTCCTGGTTTGTGTGATTGCCTTACTGGTTGTGTGCACGCCTTCCTGGTTTGTGTACTCGCCCTCCTGGTTTTTGTGCTCGCCTTACTGGTTTGTGTGCTCGCCTTCCTGGTTTGTGTGCTCGTCTTCGTGGTTTATGTGCTCGACGTAATGGTTTGTTTGCTCGCCTCAAATGGTATGTATTCTAAACTTAATGATTGTATGCAATGTAATTCAATTTCGTTGTTTGTATGCATGTTTATTGATTTAACATAACTTGGAAATAATTCGACACTGCATTTTTGAGCTTTAAATTATCTTTCCTTTTTCCTTTTAAACAATACACATTTATAGAAATGATAGAGGGAAATGATGATATCAGAACATGTGTTTTAAGAAAATTGATTTCCCATTTCAATCATCATGAACGTGGTATCTTAATTTTGTAGCTATATGCAAATGTGATACACAATATGGCAAGTGCCTTCTGTATACCATAACGCGTAACCCGTAGTTTGACTTCCGACCTACGTTATTGAAGGCGAATTCATCAGGTTGATTGAAAGATAATTCATCAGCGTAATTGAAAGCGAGTTGAACAGCGTAATTGAAGGCGAATTTATCAGTGTATTTGAAGGCGAGTTCAATAGTGTAATTAAAAGCAAATTCCTCAGGTAGCTGTAGGCGAACTCGTCAGCGTAATTGAAAGCAAATTTATCAGCGTAATTGAAGGCAAGTTCAACAGGTAACTGAACGCGAATCCACAGCGTAACTAAAGGCGAACTCATCAGCGTATTTGAAGGCGAATTCATCAGGTAACTGAAGGCGAATTCATCAGCGTAATTGAAGACTAATATCAGCGTATTTGAAGGCTAATTCATAAAGGTAATCGAAGGTGAATTTATCATGAATACAGTTACACAGCGTACTGTGAGTATTGTTTCGATTAAGGTAATAAAAACTAACACCACGATAATATTAATTTATTTGATCGGAATTTTGCTGTTATATGATATTTAATGTTGAAGAAACTTGCATATCAATTGTCAGTCATTTCGATTAGACTTCGAGAAATTATATATTGTAAATTACTTATTAGACAATCATTATATATGTATTAAAAACTATTTTGTAATAGGAAGAGAAAAATCCGAAATATGGCGAGCATTTAAAGTGGTTTGATATATAACTTTGCTTAACATTGCATATATATTGCTTGAATGACTTTTGAGAACGATTCAATTAGTTTTCTTATTATAGAGAATAATGTAAAATAGACAAAAGATGCAATGTTTTATAAAAAAGAATCCAGAGTATACCTCTTACCTACAATTATATACAAAGACATGTATAAACCCTTTTATAAATGAAATTATGTTTATATATCATATTTATTATTAATGTATTAAAATCTAATTATTGCATGATATAGGTCACCTATACCCTGAATCATGTATACGGTATAGAAGCACTCTTGTTAGAAAAACAAATGTGCTGGAATTTTCCGGCAGCAACCGAAAGAGGAAACGAAGTCTGTAAAATTAAGTGAAAATAGATCCATTGACCTTCAATCTCATCAATTTTCATTCAATTCGTGGCAATGTAGTAGTTTAAATCAAATTCAGACTTAACACCTAAGGATTAAGTCCTTAAACGAAGAGTTTCCCTGGCGTCTGTGGCGAGGCAGCGGCGCCGGTGGAAACGTAGATCTCGGGTTAAAGGCACGCATACGATATTGGAAGCATTGGGTGATAATTTAATGTCATTTGTTCAAAATTAAACGATACATTTAATCAATTATTTAAAATTTGCGACATGTTAATAGCTAAACGATTGAATATTCTGTTGTGGCGAAACAAGTCTCCAAACATTGAACGTTGGCCATCCTATCATTAGCTGTAATTATGGCGATATGGTTTCGGATAATTGGACCCCGATGATTCGGGCTAAAACGGATCACAATTCGGCCTGACTTCAGCTTAAGATCCTCTCTCGTCATCCCCCTTCATTTTAGCCATTGTTGATACTCTGTAGTGGCTGCCCCGTCATGTCAGCAGTAGGCTTCTCAATACAGCTGGAGCCAAGTAGTGGCGTCTGCATAAATTTACTTTGTTTAAATTTAAGGATATAATTTTTTATTCTAAATTAGAAACTAATAGTCATTGTTAAGTATCTAATGATGCCAAGGAATAAAGGGAAGGAGGTTTAAAGTTTTGTCACCTTCCTTGTAGAATTGCTACCCTTTACCTAAGCATTACAGGTGTTTTTTGGGGTATGAATGCACAGTGTTGAACAGGCCCTATACTGATTTTTTTTACATGTTAAATGATATTGTTGCTAATTAATGTTTTTATACACTAATTGAAGGATAGATTTAAGGATAATTTTGCGAGAGGATCGGGTCATTGAATAGCACAATACAAGTCGTCTGCTGAGACCAGACGAATGGCGCGAATCGGGTTTTATATACTGCTTAACTATAGAGGGAAACTAGGGCATCTTCTGTATCATTATCTACAGGGACGAATACATGAATTTAGAGGAAATAAATTTGACCTATCGTCATTTAACAGATCAGGGTAAAATAGGAAGAAATGTGTACCACCTCGTGAACAAAGGGCGGAATCGGAACTTCAAGTCGACAAATAAAAACAAAAACGAAAATGTGGAGACTCCGAAACAAAAGGACAAATATAAACACCAGTATAAAAAACATATAATTTAGGAAGATTAAGAAAACAATATAATCATTTTTTCATTAATAACTACTTTCTAATTATCAAATTTGATTTAACACTGTAAGACCACCTACACATTTCAACGCGGGTCTACAAGAGTGACTGTTATACAGTAAGTTAGATGTAATGCAATTAGCGAGAGTTTTAAATATTGTTGAAGAACTTAATATGTATTGAAATCATTTAAGATGATACGTTACCTTATAAAGTCTCTTTCAAGATATCATGGTTACTTTTTTTTTAATTCTATCAGACACACATTTCATTGATTTACCTTATTTGGGCATCAAAGGAAAAAGCATTTGTCTTAAAACAGTTAATATACTAAAATAACAAATGTATTATTTTAACAAATGTAGTAAATTGACATTTCAACAACTTTGTGAAGAAAAAAAAAGAAATAATTTCTGCTATCCAAAATTTGTTCAGTTGTGTTACTTTTATTAATTGAAGTTGAACATTGACAACTTCACGGTTTTGCCATGAACTCTACATTATTTCTTTTTTATCCTTGCAGAGCGATGGTTATATGCTGTTATTTTAAGGTGACCAAAACGTATTTACTTAAAGACATTTCAAAACAAAACCTGAAGTTTTCTGGCAAAAAAATCAAAATTCCTTTTAATAGTAGATTTAATGATAACTAGATCTCATAAATTCACTTATTCCTGAGTTTTATTTACATCTCACTCTTTCTGGAATATCACCAAATTATTGTCCATAACATCAAAGTTAGAGAATTTACTGAAATGGAACTAAATTTCAAAGGTCCTTACATTTGTTTAATGGCAAAAAGGCGTGACGTCATTCAAACTATTAGTATATCCTCCTTTGTTAAGTAAAAGTTGTACATTGTATACAGGTTCATTCAGCACAACCGTTAAAATGTTTTGGTGTGACATTTGATGACTAGTACGATATGTACTCTTATGTTCTATGTTACAATGTACAATATACATGTAAAAAAACATGTTCGCTGGTTGCGCTACATGAACCTTTACACACACAAACAACATTAATAATGAAATTCCTAAATACAATATACAGCGAAAACAAAATCATTTTGGTTTTTGAAACAAATAGATATAATTGCATATCGTTAATATAAAACAAAATATATCGAATGCTAAATTTATTTCGTCATTTGTTCATTTTCCCAACAACGATGTAATGACAACATTTATGCATACCTCTGATTAATACTGAACTCGAAGGGATCGGACGTCAAATTATATAAATTTTGAGGCTTATCTTTGCGATAATGTTTTCATCAATACCAATGTCCTTAATTAATACAGTATTTAACCTATACAGCGTCCAACAATCATGTTCAATTAACCAATCATTTTTTTCATATTTACCATTAACTCTATTCTAGGACCTAAAGAACATAAAATTCAGAAGGAATTTGCGCCAAATAACCAATTTGTCTATGTTTCTGGTTTTCAAAAATCACTTTTCCCCTCATAGAGTGCAACAATATTATTTGTATTTCACTTTTCTAAACAAAACGAAATATTCTATTAGGTTCAAGTTTCCCGTAAATATATATACACCATTTTAAGTGTTTGATGAAGGCACACTAGTATGAGATATATATGCGTCGTATTCCCGAAACTCCACGCGACTTATGTCTGTTTATGTAACTGATTAGAAGCTCGTGCATTCATACTGCTAATTGAATTGCGGATATGCACGCGATTCCAGATACGCCATTGACTGTCCTAATGTAAGCATGCTTGTTGGGG